TCTACAAAAAGGAATCTCGCTTTTCTCGTCTACCCGGTTATTTAAGCATTCAACTCGTTCGTTTCTTTTACAAAGAAAAAGAGCAAATTAATGCTAAAGTAAGCCTGGTTTTTCAAGCACTGCAAGAATTTTTTCTGATCCTGTGATGACTAGTAAAAGGTCTGAATTCTTTTTTCAACTATCTATTTGCTCCAAATAGCAAATGGGGATGTTGTTATTTGAATTCTTATGATTTTATTATGGCCTGAGGATCCTCATTAAAATACTGTTTCATCCTAGTTTATACTCTTTTTTTAAGATCTTAAAGGATATTAAATTCCCACTTAATCTCGATCTCTACGAATTTTGCACCCCTGAACTTCAAAAAAAACTTTTGCCTATGCGGGAGAAAATTAGACTACAAGATGAACACTCCGCTAATAAAGGGAAAAACTCCACCAAAGGATCTTTAGAAAAAATGGGTAAATCTTGGTCTTTTTTTAATTAGTCCGAACGTTACTAATATTGAACTTCTTCTAGAAGCTGAGGTGGAGGCAAAAGACGTGGAGCCATATTGGTTTGCAGATGATTTGGGGTCCAACAACTCTGGTACGTATAATTTGCTGGGTGTCTTGACCCATCAAGGTAGATCAAGTTCCAGTGGTCACTATGTTGCGTGGGTTAAAAGAAAAGGTTAGGTTTATTCAGCTTTGTCTATTTTTCGTATACTGATGCTTCATTCTTTCGGTGTATTGGTGTTATCTATATATGACCAATGTTTTTACTCCTATAGGAATCTGGCTAAAGTTTGACGACGATGAAGTTAGCCAAGTAACATCCGACGACATACTTCGCCTTTCTGGAGGTGCTGATTGGCATTGTGCTTATGTGCTTCTGTATGGGCCGAAACTCGTTCGAGCTGCTAGTCACTCTGAAAATCAGCTTCCTCCCAAAAGCTCTTCCGCTTATTCACTCAATGAGAAGTCAATACGAGGAGACAAGTAGATATCACAGCAAAAAACTTTGACTGTTGGGTTTCACTAAAGGGTTTTCTGTGATCACATCTAAATCGGCAAATTTGTGTATATGTGCAGCCATTTTGTCCACACATTTGCAAATTTAATATTATTTTTAATTCACACATTGATTAGAGTTGATTAACTTCGCAGCTCCTACGCCCCCTATTTTTCATAAAATACGTGAGGGTTTTACATCCCTTACGATCTTTGGATCTTGTGAATTCTGACAATCAGATATAACTTTGAAGTGAACTTCAATGGGGTCTTGTATTAACTACGGTGGTTGATTAGTTTACCTATTTTCTATTTTAAAATGGTCTATAGAGGTATCAGCAGGTGTTGAATAGGAAGTGCATTCGCTTTTTTAGTCTAAGGTGATGAATGACACTTAGTTGGTTTGTCCCACAATGCTATGAGTAAGTCCCAAGTTTTTATTAAAATTCACAGCCTTCCATTTGGGTTTTATCTTAAACTTATTGTAATTTTGAGTTCGCATAGGTTTCAATATCAGCGCTAGCCTGACTAGAACCAGGCTAGTATGCATGTAGTCTAAAAAAGTTAATCGCTTCTCGGATTGCGGCGAGTGCTCGTGTCAGAGAACAGTAGTGAATGTCAAGGAAACCAAGAACTATTATATTGCGCCTGTCTGGAAATGTGCTAATTCACTGGTCTGATAGTAGACAACACAAATACTGTGGTAAGGGACTAGGTACGTCCCATAACGTCTCTGACGCTGCGAAAAACTAGGTCGAACCAAAATTATAAAGCTAGTGTAGATTGCTACCAAACAAATGGATACATCGTCTTGGCCTTTATATCTACGATATTAATAGGGTTGATGCAAGGACGAGAGTGGGTGTGGTCACTGAAAATTAATCCGTAGGCTTATTTTTCCTTTTGCAAATATATTCCCGAGACTGCCAGCGGGTTAGCCATGTGCTATGTATTCGACCTATTTCGTTTAAGGGGGTGAAGGTCTGGTGACCTGATTTTCCCACAATAATATGATTAGAGTTGACATTTACGTTGGGTTTCGCGGCCTCGTTTTCTCAAAAGCTGTTTCCACCTCAATGGCACTCCTTGCGGGGTTTGAGCCGTTATTGCAGTGTGTGTTGGCACGACGGGTATTGTCATGATGCTACTAGTGTCCTTTGGTCCCGGCAAATTTTGACTTTCGATGACAAAGCTTTTTCCAATGTTACATTCTTCGGCGAGATTGTCGATGGAGCAAGTTGATGCTTGCTATAGCAATCAACTACCAATCCTTCATCGCCTTAAGCAATATATATTGAATATATCCTGAAGCCTGCCTTATCTTCGTCTGCACGCGTTGCTCACGATTTAATTGGTAATTTTGGGTCCTGAGCCAGGCTCCAGATTAGTCAAGCCTCACTCGATCACTCAGTGCTTCATTTTACTATACAGCAGCCAGAAACAGTCCTTTCTTGACTTCAGAAATTTGTTTGTTTTCTTTATTTAAATCGACCTCTTCCGCTTATTTGTAAAATCATAATATCCGGTAAAACGTTGGGTCCTCTATCACTATCTAGTTTCTTGTGATTTTATGCTCCATAAAAATTGGCAGGCGATTTTGTCTTCTATACCCTCTTGTTTACAGATTGACAAGTCTCTACATAGACCTTATGACCTAAGCACAAAATCTGATCTGCAAAGTGCGCCTGAAACTTGTCTAAAAGAAGGCATGACTATGGACAACCTTAGCATTTCTTTATACATGGCCTTGATGTTCAATTTCAACCGGGATTCTAAATTTTTGGAAAATAAGACAAGATTTGACTATCCCGAAGCCTGATTTGGGACCCTGACTCCTCAATTAATTCGTAGGATTTCATACACGCAACGCACATATCCACGAGGCTAAAACGCTTCAGGGTTATAGATTCATATTCTAGTTAATTTATACAAGAGAAAATTAGTGACTGCAACCACTCCCCTTCCTGCATCACTGGCTCGCATACATGAATGTAGGGCAAGCACAAAACAGACAACCGAATCATGGAATTCTCCATGAAGGCTGTGAAGTGCGGTCTCAGAAGTAGGATCTTAGCTGGCCATTCCTCTTGGATTGGTGTTTTCTGGTGATTGTTCGTAAATAAGGGTTTTCGGCTCTGATGGTGTCCGCCACAGCGAAAGAAAGCTCAACATGATCGGGATCGCAGGCCGTTGAATCTAAGTCTTCGCACACTCTAACAGTCAAAAGTCTGAGGCAATCCTTCCTATCCAGTCAAGCCAGTTTGCGAATCTGTTCCAGCGGTCTTTCCTAACGAAATGGAAGTTATCCTAGTATCAATCTAGTTACCCACATTTCCTTCACAATCCATCTTATTTCCTAATCCAACCTTAAGCCAAAATTCAAATTCACTCAAGTATTTTAATCAAGGAATATTCTGTACCCAGCGGTTTTCCCAAACCCTTAAGGCTCTACTCCTTGTGCGCCACATTCACCCGCTGCGGTCGTTCGCTACTCTTATTTCATTATGTACATTTCTATAGTAAAACACATTCTTTTTAGAAGAATGGCAACTGCCGCAGTGCCGACTAAATCAACACTGCATATCTACTTTGAGCTTTCGCAGCCTCTTTTTGGAATCTTCACATTTACTACACAATTTCAACGAGCCTTAGTTTCCTCCCTCCAATTCCTTCGTACCTTAGTATCTGGTTACCAGACTTTTAGCACGAATGTAAATACTACCAAATAGTCCAGAAGTATAACATGTACAAAATTGAATTTGGTTCTAACGCGTATCACAATCTTGACTTATTCGGCAAGTAATTTATTTTGTAATCAAGCCATGCGGGCTGAGTCAGAATCAGCACATCGCACTAATCGAATTTACTCAAACGGAGTCCCACAGAACTGGATTATACAATAAAGGTAAACCGCATATTTAATGCAAGTATTTGTGCTAGTGTTTTAAATCAAGGACTGTTTGATCATTATGTGAAATTCAAGAATAAAAATTGCCGAATTCTAAAGTAAATTTAGCTTAACAATTGATAAAAAAAATACAGTTTTAATGGTTTAGTGACCAGAATATAAAAACACTATACTACTGAAAGTTTAATTTCACTTGCTGTTGGAGTACTT